ACATTATTGGGTCGTTGGTCTGTGATCGTCGTCAGGCCACCCGAAAAGAAAAAGAAAGTAAAGAAAGTATTGGTGGCCAAATTATATTGGATCCTCTCTAAACCCCCATTTGTCCCCATTCCCTGGATACCACACACAGCACACATAAGCGGCGGAGGGCTGTCTTGCCAGCTACGATCTAGTGCCGAGAAAGGGGAAAATAGTTGGACTGAATCGTCGCGCGCGGCGCAGGAGCGATCACCTACTTTTTCTAGGCACGATCACCTCGAGTGTCGAAGACATTAGGCATACAAGTACCGCGTCGCACGAGCCTCGGCCACCACCCGGAGTTCCCTCACTTCTGCGACTCGAGGTTCACCATCTTCGGTAGTTAAGCTGGTAACCTTACTTGGTACATATTCCTCGATACATTACAGATGTAGACGAGAAACGACCACCCACCGTATGCCCGATGCCTGGCTCTAAAGGGTAATCAACGCCTCGAAATCATCCAGTCACTCATTTTCATATCTTGTTCCCCGCCTTCTTTCGCCGCTGCAGCTCCCTGCAGCTCAGCTCAGCTCACCGTCACTCCTTACATGCTTGCGAGCTGTAATATCCGGACGCCACATCCCGAGTATCCGTCCCACTCCCCAGGTTGTCCCTGTAGTGAGGTCCTCACCGACGTCACTAACCCCCTTATACGATGCCGCCGACTCTGGACTTATCCCAGAGCACCCATGCCAAGATGATTGTCTCTACTCCTCGACTGAACTTACGTAGAGCCGCATCCTATCAATATGAAAAGGCACCACTATCCGCAACGTCGTCGCGCTTTAGCTTTAACCATCTAATGTTCTCCCCGCCCCCTTCCCCCGGCTTACCAGCTCTGGTACCCCGACCACGGAAATCAGCTACCGGACCGAGACCGAGTCGAGTTCTCCGGGTTGCCGCATGGATACTTAGTTTAGCGCTGGTCTCTTTTGTTGTGAGGGCTCTTGTAAAGAAGCAAGTACTAGTACCTGTTGTTGGATGGGCTTTGGACAGTCATGAAGAGTATGAAATGGTTGGCCAGTATGACTTGCCTGAGTTCCCCACGCCCATCGCTGTTACGGACAAGAAGGGCAGATCCAAGTGGACAGTATCCATACCACCTACATATAACTTCCCCTTAACCACCAAAGAGTACTCGGATATCTGCATCAAATGCCAAGAAGTGGCAAGCCACGTCAGAGAGCTACACGGTCACACAAAGCCTTCTCAAGAGGCTCAGGTAGATTACTACTACGAGGATCCCTACTTTGTCGATGTTGGTGACGCCGAAAAACGAGGACTCCTACCGGGAGTGGGGAAAGCATGGAAAGTGACGGCGCAGGCTCAAGATGGCCATTTAGTAGGGGACAAACTGGACGGACTAATGGATAAGAGCACTTGCAAGACGTCTTTAACATTCGTTCTCGAGTCGGCCGATGCTGGACTAGGTCCTACTTTGATGATGCTATGGATGGCGTATGGTCTGGCCCAGAAGGAAAAGCGAGCTTTTTTTATTGATGATTCGCGGTGGGCGTATGGCGATTATATTACTATCTTCAAGGCGCCACCGACGCCTGACTGCAGCGCGCCGCCGCGCCACGAGATGCTGCCGTGTCCCCACAGCGCGCGACACCTGGTCGTATCAACGTCCACTGCGTCTGAGACTTTTGGCAAGAGCTTTAATTCCGAGTACGAAAATCTTCGCCGAAGCAACGTCGATCGAGAACGGCCAATATACGACCTTGCTCGCGTTGGATACGAGGCTCTATTCCGTTTAAACGACGAGGATCAAACCTACGTAGACCGTCGCGTTAAGGAGCTGAGGACAATGGTCAAGGTTAAAGAGGGAAGTTATAACGACGGCATGATCATCGGTGTTCATATTCGACATGGCGATTTGCACCCATACGAGTACCAGTATAATGGCGCGTACATCCCTCTGAATCTCTACACGCTAAAATCCAAGGAGCTCATCGAAGAGTACCATAACTCCAGTACTCTCCTTGGAGGTGAGGACCCGATAGCAAAACAGCACTCGTTCTCCATCATTGCGTCAGACGATCCCGACGTCTACGAAACAGAAGAGTTCTCAGGCTCTCTGAGAGCACAAGAGCAGATCAAGCTTGCCAGCAAGCAGCACATCCAAAAGCTTAACCCAGATAAGTCGGTGATGCACAAGTTCGTGGACGAGACTTTCGGCTGGGAGGGCGGATTCTTCGCGAGCATGTTCTGGAACCTGGGCCACACCACGGTGAACAACGCCAATTTGGCAGGCAAATCACAGGCAGCGCCTAAACCGTCGGCGGAGACCACGCGGCTTAGAGGGCTTATGGGACGGGCCTACGCGATGGACCTAGCTGTCTTGGGCCAGGCTAGCGACGCTGTTATTTGCACTATCAGCGCAATGGGATGCCGATTACTAGCTGTGATCATGGGCTGGGAAAAAGCAATGGAAGAAGGGAAATGGGTCAACATCGACGGGGATTATCAGTGGGCTGCATTAACATTATGAAAGACTTTTAGCTCGGCGTTTTTTCTAGGCATTTGATTTTTCTTTTCCGCGAGCAGAAGGCCGGCATAAAATTAAGATATCCAGCATTTAGCATAGCCATTCGGAGTTTAAAGGGGTAGAAGATAGGTGACTTTGTTGTTGTTGGGGGATGGGAAACATGACCGACGATATTTCGGTAAAGCATATGGAAAATTAAATAGTTGCATTACATCAGAGTAGAGAGTAAAGAGTAGAGCTTGTTTCCTTACCGCAAGGTGAGAGGGATAGGAAGGCAAGGAAGGGGTGTAGGACCCTTTATGGCCAGATTGGCATCAATACTATTTCATTTACAGATCTATTATGGTATTATGGCTGACGGCGAGTGTTTGTCCTTGTAGTGAAATATGGGGATCTATACGTGAATGAGTTTTGCAACGGTAAATCGACACTTGTGTTTATTATCGCCAGTCAAACTTGTTAGAGGCTACTCGAGGTTTTATACTAGGAGGTCTAGAAAGCACTTTCAAGATAACTATTGAAAATCTTTAGTTATACCGTCTTCGATAAGATAAGGTCTCTTTATCAAGGGAAAAAAATAATCTCCACGACTTGAAGGACCAGGACGTTGATTAGGTGTAGGACTCGGAACTATCATCACTACGATGCTTAGAGAGGGGATTACATCATTATGTAGAGAATTCGCTCGTAAGCCTAAGCTAAATCTTTGCTATATCACTTTCTAAAGGCTCTACTCCGTGTTTGCCAGGCCGCCATAGGATCCTATCACTCCCCTTACGCAAATGCTACCATCGATATAAGTGTGCTATACAGAGTTGTAAATATTTTACAAGCATGGCGGAGAAGATATCGTCTGTTTTTAGTTGTATTTTCTAGGATAGCGACCTGGAGAGGATGCTGTTCTGGGCTGGTGGTTTGGGTGCTAGGTAGGACGGGGTAAAAGTGATATATTGATATGTTAAGCTGGAAGAAACTATTTGGAGACCTCTTGAATGTGAAGAGGAATGTCTTCTTATTATCTATGTATAAACAGCTACTTGAAGCATACCATTACCCAGATAGGGCGTAGCCGTGAAATCCCATAGAATTCACCAAGGCACTTACCTCATATGTAAGAACGAGAAATATCGTGTCGAAAGTCACAACGCTAGCAAGACGGCACACCGTACACCATCAGTCCGTGACTAAGTCCCAAGCAAACTCACCTACCTACCTAAACCTACCTGACTCATTAGTTCCTACCTATCACCTGGGAAACACGCATCCAGCCTTCCCAAAGACCCGCCAAAAAAAAAAAAAGACAGCTGCCGCTGGCACGGAAACCTCATCACCTAGTGACTAGCGCAGCAAACTTCACCTGCGGCAGAACCACACACCGCCCGTCGTTAGCCCGCAACCGCAGCCATAAATATCTGCGCCGTCCAGTCGCCTTTTTCGAAATTTTTTTTTTTCCTTTCTTCTTCATGTCGACAAGTCAGTCTCACCCCTCCCCCATACTACCAACCTGAGCAATTGAACTAACCTGTCTCCCAATACAGTACTTCAGAGAATCATTTCTATAGTATTCGTCCCGCTCTGTGTTCCCTACAGGAGCTACAGATCCCACCCTGGTTGATGAACGGTATCCCTGCTGCCCTGGAGTGAAGATTCATTATTTTTTTTGCGGGAGCAACTAGGTTTTGTGCCTACTTGCTCCTTTACTCTTGCTCTGCCTGCGAAGGTGGCGGCCCTCGTTAGAGGTTGCTGTATAGAGAGTGGTGATGATCTCGACCCCGAATCTACGGTCTTGCCCTTTGGGCGCGTGGTCGGGGTGGGCGGTGGTGGACGTCTGACAGGCGTTTTTTTTTTCTTTTTCTTTTTCGTTGCTGTCGTGTGCTGAGCACGCGGGGTGAGGAAGAAGAAGAAGGGTGTGGTTTGGGGGTGTTGTATGTATGTATCCTCGATGTTGTCTGTGGGGTGCAGCTTTTGGGAAGGGATGTACGTAGGTAGTGAATATTTCTATTGCGTTTATAAGTGGATGATGTGCTGTTCTACTGTCCTGTTACTTTATTGCCTTGTCTACGGAGTTCTGTAGTACAAGTTTGTACGACTTCATAATCCTGCTTTGGATATGAAAATGCAAAATATAAGACATCATGCTTGAGTTATCGTGACGATACCCGGCTTAGTAGCTCATGTGCCAAGGTATGTATTCGATATAATATATCCATGTCTCATGCGTGATCTGTACGCCTAGTTTTCTAAATTGAAAAATTACAAAAATGTCAAATTGCTTTAATCTTTGATATCAAAATTTTTATCTTATCAGACGGATTAATCTCTAACCTCTGATAAGATAAATCCCTGACAATCGATAATGATAGACCTTGAGATTGTAAGGTGTAAACGATGTTGATTGAGTAATTTTCAGTATAGCTGGTAATTACGTAATACCACCACAAGATATAGAATATAGATAGAATAGGTAATTTGTCTATGCGTAAAGGTGGCTATGGAGGCTAACACGTACTGCAAAATAAAAAGATATCATGGCGTGCTGCATATGTAACCTACCAAGCTACTAGGAGAGTGATCGCTCCTAGATATAACCTATAAATGTTTACGATCTAACAATCTCTAATAAATAGGGGTCAAATATTTTCGTTGAAATAAGCTCGCCAAGCCATATCGAGTCAAATCGAGTCGACTCTAATACCAAATCGTATCATTGTCATGCTCTACGGACTGATCGTACGCACCATCAGTAGGTTTACCAACGGACATCCGCGACCCAGCGGCTCATATGGAATTGCGAAGTTGGTGTAGTTTCGGTAGCGGTGGCGGTGTAAGGTCTGTGATGTCCGATATCCTTACGGTATTTGGCAATGAGTTTGGCAATGGACCATTCACAAGCCAATCTTTGCAATCTTTTTACGCGCAGTATTCACTTAAGCAAAAATCTACACGTGTACTGAAATTAACTTTAGCACGAATGCGAATACGAAGTACCGTCGTACCTCTCTGCGTTAGCTTAAAATGGGAGATGCATGGTCCGATGTCTAACCCCCTATCGATTGGCCAATCTCTTGCCATCTTTTTACCAAAAAGGGTCTGTTACCTTGACCCTCAATTTTTGTATTTATTAAACTCCCTCCTATGTTTCCTATCTAACATTTATTCCAGCTACTCACAGTCTACAAGCTAAGAGTGCAGTCGACAGTGTCAGTCGCGCGCGTTTTTAGCAATGGGGCTTATAGAAGATATTCAGGGACCTGTGTCCCAGTACATGTCGCAACTGTCGACACCGTCACAAGTTGGCGTTATCGCCGCTGGCGTTCTGTTCTTCTCTGTTTTCCTCAACGTTTTACAACAGATTCTCTTCAGAAATCCTAATGAGCCCCCGGTTGTTTTCCACTGGTTTCCCTTGGTTGGGAGTACCATCACCTATGGCATGGACCCTCCCCGGTTCTTTAGGGAAAATCGAGCTAAGGTACGTTTCCTCCGATACCCCTGTGCATACCGCGAGTCAGTTGGCGTATTAATAGACACGATAGTATGGTGACATCTTCACCTTTATTCTCCTCGGAAAGAAGACAACTGTTTACCTTGGCCCCGCCGGAAACGACTTCATCCTAAATGGAAAGGTTAAGGATGTTTGCGCTGAGGACATCTACACCGTTCTTACTACTCCTGTCTTCGGCAAAGATGTCGTTTATGATTGCCCTAACTCGAAGCTCATGGAGCAGAAGAAGGTAAACTACCAAGTGTTTCTATATGAGTTGAAATCCTTACTAACATGAAGGGTGGATAGTTCATGAAAGTCGCTCTCACCACGGCCGCCTTCCAGTCGTACGTCCCCATCATTTCCGACGAGGTAACAAGCTACGTCAAGCGATGCCCCGACTTCAAGGGCAAATCGGGCGTAGTCAACATCCCTAAGAACATGGCCGAGATTACCATTTTCACCGCATCTCACTCTCTCCAAGGCAGCGAGATCCGAAACAAGTTCGACGAGTCGCTGGCTTCCTTGTACCATGACCTAGATATGGGATTCACCCCTGTCAACTTCATGCTTCACTGGGCCCCCTTACCCTGGAACAAGAGACGCGACAATGCCCAGAGGACCATCTCGAAGATCTACATGGATACCATCAAGGAACGCAGGGCAGCTGGCAAGAGCGATGCGCAGGATATGATGTGGCATTTGATGAACTCGAGTTACAAAGATGGCAGACCGGTTCCCGACCACGAGATTGCACACATGTTGATTGCGTTGCTTATGGCTGGTCAGCATTCTTCGTCTTCTACAAGCTCTTGGATGATGCTACGTCTCGCTTCGCGCCCGGATATCATGGAGGCTTTGTACCGCGAACAGGTTGAGGCTCTCGGTGCTGATCTACCCCCGCTGGCATACGAGGATCTCGCGAAACTCCCACTGAACCAGGCAATCGTCAAGGAAACCCTAAGACTTCATGCGCCCATTCACTCCATTATGCGCGCCGTAAAGTCCCCTATGCCAGTCCCCGGAACTAAATTTGTCATTCCTACCAGCCATACCCTACTTTCCGCCGGCGGCGTATCAGCTACGGACCCTACTTTCTTCCCCGACCCAGACCGATGGGAGCCTACACGATGGAGCAAGGATTCGCCTATTGCACCGACAGTGATCCGCAACGATGTGGAGGATGAGAAGATAGATTACGGATACGGACTTGTTAGCAAGGGTGCCAACTCACCCTACCTCCCGTTCGGTGCTGGAAGGCATCGTTGCATCGGTGAGCAGTTTGCCAACGTCCAACTACAGACGATCACAGCCGAGCTCGTTCGTCTGTTCAAGTTCAGGAACGTCGACGGAAGTGACAAGGTTGTTGGAACTGATTATGCTTCGTTATTCTCGCGGCCAATCGAGCCGGCTAATATTTTCTGGGAGAAGCGAGATGCTTAAAGGGGAAGCTTTGGAATCGAGAAGCAGGAAACGAGTTATACTGAATACCCCTAAACACCTAGAGTCCTGTACATACAGCCTTTTAACTGGATGACGACCACGATCCGAGATAGCCCAAGAAGGGTATGAGATGAAAGAAAGACACCAAATAGCTAGAATAATAGTAATATCAGATATGAGTATAATAATATACTCTTTATGAAATCGTAGACCTGTGTTAGAACATCAATGCAAATTTCCCAGATTAATCATCTCCTTACCGTATTACTATATAGGTATTCTTCAGCATCTTACAGCAAGGGAGGACAGATCGGAACGGGAAGCGCAGCCGGTACCTGAAAACCCGCGTTCATGGAACCAAAAGCTTGTCTGTCCCTGTTCCCCCCCCTCCCCCCCCCCGCATACGGATGACGCAGCTAGCCTAAAGCTCGAGCATCATAACTTACTGCGTTGGAGATGGTTTCTTCTAGTCTCTAGATATTGGCTAACACGCTTAGCAAATTGCAAATTGCACTCCAAAAGTGACATGTAGTAATTGTTAAATATATTTAAACCCATGGCATACTCTACTCGCAATTGTTGTTTCTTTTTATCTTTTTTCGTTTCCGTATTATTTCCAGCTTGAGACGGTATGTATCGTTCGGGTTATGTACCTGTACCAGATCGAAACATCGGCCCCTTGAAACGATTATCCTATTACCTACATGCACTTTTCCTTTCTGCCTACATATGTATGTTCTAGCTGTTGAAACATAACATAACGTTCTTATCAATATATATATTAAGTTCATCTCATTACTAGCGTTCACGCGGGACGGGAGGAATACTTCACTTCACTTCACTTTCATCTAACTACCTAAGTTTAAGTATCTTACCTTCGTTTCTTTACAAGCTCACCTATTACCTACGCCAAAACCGCAATGTCATCACCATCCGCCCCAGGACCCCTCGTCCGCCTACGGGGCCTCCGCACCGAACAGCTCCCCGCAGCTACCGCGTCGCCCGACGAGCTGGCGCCCTTCCTCTTCGCAATCCTGCGGGAAGCCGTCCCGTTCATCGACTCGGCGGCGCCGAAGGCGGGAAACGGCGCTGCGGACCCGAAGCTCTGGAAGTTGAAGGGGAGCCACGCGCATCCGGACGCGGCGGCGAGAATCGATGTCTTGGAACGTGTGGTCCCGGCTGCTGAGCTGGGGGAGGTGGCTAAGGAGGGTGGTAGTAAGGAGAAGGAGAAGGGAAAAGGGAAAGTTAGGCCGGAAACTTGGTGCTGCCGCCGCAGCGTCCACGAGGATAAGCCGGAGAGGGGAACGGCGTCCTGGGAGGAATTCGTGCGCAGCTTCCGCGACGAGCATGCCGAGTCGGAGCGGGCGTTTACGCCGGCGTGCGTGGATGCGCATCAGGCTTTGGCGTGGGACTGCGGGGGCGCGGAAGCCTTGGAGGGGGGGCAGACGTGGGGACGGTTCGGGCTGATTGTGCAGGAGATGCGGCATCGCATTGGGAGGCCGGTGTTGAAGGATCGGACGTTTCCCGTGCTGCAGATGACTGCTACTGCTAGCTCCACCACCACATCTTCCTCGGGAGAAGAAGAGGAGGAAGAAGAGTTCCTCGTGGTAAGCATCCCCATACCGGATTTCGGGACGTCGGAAGCGAGTAAACTGGCGAGGGAAAGGGGGGCGCAGATCGCTAGTTATGTGAGTGTGGAGAGGATCCGGAGAATGGGGGAGGGGGATGGGGATGGGGATGGGGACGGGGGTAGGAAGGTGGAGTGGCTGATGGCGACGGCGAGTGATGCGGGAGGCGTGCTGCCGGCTTGGGTGCAGAATGTGGCGGCGCCGGGGGTCATTTGGAAGGATGTGCCGCTGTTTTTGGGGTGGATTGGTAGGGAGAGGGTGAAGAGGCAGCAGGGTAAAGATGATGATGGTACGAATAACGCTAGGGGTGTTGCGGCTGGGGATACTTAGGTCTCGGCTGGATTGGAAGTATAAACTAGATGGCGAAGGGGTCGGGGAGTAGTTAATACCGGTAGGATCTTGGGAGGGAGGAGTAGAGATGATGGGAGTGGAAGTGCGATATATGACACAGCGATTTATAGTATTTGGCGGAGGGCGTTAGATGTTATTGTGTTAATATGATTATAGTCTAAGGAAGAACTGCTTGTAAAATTAAGGATGCTATCTAGGTAATGATGGTTACCTAGAACTCATAGCTACCTATTTCAGTCGGTTGAGGTTAAAGGCTCGAGCATGGTATGATTTATTACAACTCCTGCGCTTGGTATAATCTGTAGTTTCGTACTGACATGGCCTGTGATATATAGTCTTTGGAAACATCTTATAGAGAGGCGGTTCATAACTGCGAAGGAGACACAGGTATATACTCTACTTATATTAACAAATGAAGACTTTGAAAAGACTCGAAATATACTTATACTGCCTTAGGAATAGTTGTAAAAGACGAGAACATGTAAAAGTTACATGTATATTGTGGGGTACCGAAGTACGGTCTTATATAAAATCACCCCGCCATTGTATAGTACATCTTATCGATAATGTTATCTGGCGGCAGTTACCCCTCCGAAAATCGTACCTTTTTTCTAGTGAGTCAAAGTAAGTCTGAGTCAAACAATTTTCGAGAAAGGAAGCCGACTTATATATCTAGGTATTAGCCAACCCCAATGCTACGAATCATTTCCCCCTAATTCTCCATTCAACACCGTCAAGTTGTCTAGGTTATTTCTTAGGGCACTCTGGGTGCGCAGGCCGCCGTACAGATCAACTTTTCACTTCACTCGCGCCAACATGGCTACAAATAGCTCCCGTGGTAACCCTATCGATGCATCCGAGGGCCCAAGCAAGGTTGGTGAGGGTGCCCCGCCTCCGGTCGCCGCCGATACTAAAGGCGCCGTGAAAGAAGCTGCGGGACAGTCGGACGGTACTGGTGTGCACGCCTCGGGTCAAGATGCCGGAGCCGCTTCGACTTCAGCCAAGGCCGAACCTAAGGTCAAGACTGAGAAGGAGTTAGAAAAGGAGAGGAAGAAGGCTGAGAAGGCTGCCAAGTTCGAACAGAAGAAGGCCAAAGCCGCTGCACAGGCTGCCCCTGCTGCTAACGCTAAGGCGAAGGACAAGAAGCCTAAAGCTCCCAAGGTCGAAGAAGAGCCTCTTCCCCCTTACGTCGAAGAGACCCCCGCCGGAGAGAAGAAGCAACTTAGATCCCTCGACGACCCCCAGTTGAAGGCCTACAACCCGATCGCCGTCGAGAGCGCTTGGTATGAGTGGTGGGAGAAGTCAGGTTTCTTCAAGCCCGAATTCGCCCCGGATGGAAAGGTCAAGGAGGAAGGGTCCTTCGTCATCGTCATACCACCTCCCAATGTGACGGGAGCGCTACACATGGGGCACGCCTTGGGTAATTCCCTTCAAGATGTCATGACCAGATGGAATCGTATGCACGGGAAGACAACACTGTGGCTACCAGGCTGTGACCATGCCGGTATTAGCACCCAGAGCGTCGTCGAGAACATGTTCGTGCCATTGCCTTGTTATTCTTTTATAGGTACGTATACTGACTGCTCTCTAGGTTATGGAGACGGCAAGGCAAGACCCGACATGATCTAGGCAGGAAAAAGTTTGTGGAAACCGTCTGGGAGTGGAAAGAGGATTACCATAAGCGAATCAATAACGCGCAACGTAAGATGGGTGGCTCGACCGATTGGAGCAGGGAAGCCTTTACTATGGATAAGAACCTAAGTGCGGCTGTGACAGAGACTTTCGTCAAGCTCCATGAAGAAGGAACAATATACCGCGCGAATCGTCTTGTCAATTGGTGCACCCAACTGAACACGGCGCTCTCAAACTTGGAGGTCATCAACAAGGAATTGACCGGACGAACACTCCTCGACGTACCTGGATACGATAAGAAGGTTGAGTTTGGAATTATTGTCCACTTCAAGTACCCCATTGAAGGCTCGAATGAGACGATCGAGGTTGCTACAACGCGTCCCGAGACACTACTAGGTGATACAGGTATCGCCGTGCACCCTGATGACGAACGGTATAAGCACCTTGTTGGCAAGAAGGCTGTCCACCCCTTCATCGAGGGCCGTTTGATGCCAATTGTAGCGGATGACTACGTGGACAAGGAATTTGGTACTGGCGCCGTCAAGATTACCCCGGCTCACGACCCGAACGATTTTGCGCTAGGTCAGCGACACAACTTAGAGTTCATTAACATCTTGACCGACGATGGTCTCATGAATGAGAATGCCGGTCCCTACAAGGGCCAGAAGCGATTCGACGTAAGGTATGCTATCCAAGACGCTCTTAAGGAGCGTGGATTGTACGTAGATAAGAAGGACAACCCGATGAAGGTACCCCTCTGCGAGAAGTCCAAGGATGTAATTGAGCCCATCATGAAGCCCCAGTGGTGGATGAGGATGAAGGATCTAGCCGTCGAGGCAATCAAGGTGGTGAAAGATGGCCAGATCAAGATCAAGCCCGAGACGGCCGAAAACAGCTACTACAGATGGATGGAGAATATCAATGACTGGTGTCTTTCGCGTCAACTCTGGTGGGGACATCAATGCCCTGTCTACTTCGCCAACGTCGAGGGCGAGGCAGGTGATCGGGCGGACGACAAGTTGTGGTTCTCGGGGCGGACAGAGGAAGAAGCACGAACGAAGGCTGAGAAAGCTCTATCAGGAAAGAAGTTTACGTTAGAGCGCGATGAGGACGTACTCGACACGTGGTTTTCTTCCGGATTATGGCCCTTCTCAACCCTTGGATGGCCGAACAAGACCCATGACTTGGAGACGCTATACCCAACTAGCGTCCTCGAGACCGGATGGGATATCTTGTTCTTCTGGATTGCAAGAATGATCATGCTTGGTCTTAAGATGGTGGGACAGATTCCTTTCCGCGAGGTTTACTGCCACTCACTCGTGCGAGACTCGGAGGGAAGGAAGATGTCTAAATCCTTAGGCAATGTCATAGATCCTCTCGATGTCATCAGCGGAATTCCCTTAGAAACCCTCCACGAGAAGCTGGCGATGGGAAACCTCCACCCTAGCGAGGTTGAAAAGGCCAAGAAATACCAGAAGACCGCTTTTCCCGAAGGTATACCACAATGCGGAGCTGACGCACTTCGATTTTGCATGGTCAACTACACGACCGGTGGAGGAGACATCAATTTCGATATCAAGGTCATGCACGGCTACAGGAAATTCTGTAACAAGATTTACCAGGCCACGAAGTTCGTGCTCGGCAAGTTAGATCAGGACTTCGTTCCCGAGAAGACCGGAAAACTTACCGGCAAGGAATCCCTTGCCGAGAAGTGGATCCTACACAAGATGAACGCCGCCACCAAGGAGATAAACGAATCTATTGCGAACCGAGAGTTCAACCGATCGACGACGACGGTGTATCAGTACTGGTATAACCATCTCTGTGATGTGTACATAGAAAACTCGAAATCCCTCATACAGGACGGCACAGAAGAGGAGAAGCGCTCGGCTGTTAACACTTTATACACTGCGCTGGACAACGCGCTGAGGCTGATCCACCCCTTTATGCCTTTCCTCACAGAAGAACTATGGCAACGCCTCCCGCGCCGACCTGGCGATGAAACTCCATCAATCATGCTTGCTCGATACCCCGTGTACGACCCAGAGCTAGATAACCCCGCGGCCGAGGCTGCCTACGAACTCGTCCTGGGTTGCTCCAAGGGTATCCGGTCATTAATGTCCGAATACGCTCTTAAGGACGAAGCTAAAGGTAACTTGTTCGAACTTACTGCCTCCCTGATCTTATACTAACACAAATATCTATAGTTTTCATACAAACCTACGACGAGACGGCGCATCGGACCGCAGTGGAGCAGGTCCAATCCATCAAATCGCTCAGCGGCAAGGGCGTGACCGGAATCGAGGTTACCTCCGGATCAGACGCGCGTCCCACCGGATGCGTGGCGTTCCCCGTGTCGAGCGCCGCGGCAGTGTTCCTACACGTCAAGGGACGCGTAGACATCGACGACGAGATCTCCAAGGCCAACAAGAAACTCGACAAGACGCGCGCCGCCATTGCCAAGCAGCAGAAACTCCTCGCCGACACCAACTATCAGCAGAAGGTCGCGGCTGCCCTCCAAGAGGCGGACAAGAAGAAACTCGCTGATCTGGAATCCGAGGCCAAGGGCTTCGAGGGCACGATTAAGCAGTTTGAGGGGTTAAAGTTAGAGTAGATTTGTTGTGAGCTGTTTAAGGGTGGTTGTTTGGAGAGATTGTCTTGGGGTGGGAGGATGATATGGAAAGAAATAAGTGCGACAAAACTAGTTGCAGTTAAGACTTATGATATAGCTCTGTAGTGATAGAGATAGAACGAATGGAAGAAACAAAGAAATTTCATTAAAATAATCGTGGTCTTGGTGATGTTAGTATTGCTGTTGTGCGAAGGGTTCGATAGGGATGTGAAGTAAACTAGGATAAAAACAGGTAACTACCTAAGTTAACTAACTAATCTAGTATAACTATAGTCTTAATAGTATACGTCTATGTGCATAGGTAACTACCCCTTACCCAAACTTGCTGCTCTATTACTATCTATTAGTCATCACGTTATAGCATAACTAGGTAGGTGGTATAGTATAGTATGGTAAGTAGTAAGTACACAATGAACGACACATAGTTGGTACTCCAGGCTAATTTAGCTAGCTGCCTCCGTAGTTAGACTCGCGGGCGCGTAAGGGGTTCGTTCTAGATGAGAGCAGTTAAAAGGGGGCCGAGGTCGGCCTGCGTGTGTGTGTGTGCTGTGAGTGAGTGTTAGTTTTGTGCAAAGGAGGCGAGGCGCTTTTAGATAGGAGGTGATTGCGGTCAGGCGTTTATACATATGTATCTACACGTTCTGTGTATTGAAGTAAGTAAGTTAGATCTGTAGTCGAGCGGGTAGATAGAAGTAAGCTTGCAGAATAACGACTACACTCACTATTCGTCTACTCATCTCGATGCCATGATTCTAGCATATCGAGCACACTTACCGACCTACTTTACTACGCCGGAAATCATCACGAAATACCATAATCCACTCATGATAAAACGTTCCAAGAATTTGTATTGGTTGTTGGTAGTATAGGCAGTATATACCTTATGTACCTAGCCTAACCTAGCCAGCCAGCATGTCATCCCTCACCCTCCTCCTCACACAATACATCGCATTCATCAATCCATCCCCCCCCCCCCCCTACCTCCCTCTCACTCAAATCATCGCAAACATCTCCCCTCCCCCCCCTTATCTCTCATATCAGAGAAGCAGCAGTAATAGCAACGCCTAGACGCCATGCCTTCAAGGACGAAAACAAATCGTTCATCCCGCCCCTCCCGGCAGAATTTTTATTTTTCTTCCAACGAACTCCGAGTCAGACGGAGAAATAAAAGATTTACACGCAAATAAAAAGAGGAAAAAA